CAGGGTTTCACCATGTTGGCCAGGATGGTCTCGAACTCCTGACCTCAAGTGATCCGCCAGCCTCGAGGTGAGGTCTTTAAAAGCGGGTGAAGTGTCAGAGAGACACTTTCCTGCTGCCTGGAATAAATAAGCTCCAAGATTGTAAGAAGGGTCTACAGAGGGAGCCATGTTGAGAGAGGATATCACGGCACTCTTTAGGAGTTGAGAGTGTCCTTGGCTGACAGCTACCGAGAAGAAATGAGGACCTTGTCCACCACTGCAATGAAATCAATTCTGCCAACAACCTGAATGACCTCGGAAGAGGCCTCTGAGCTCCAGATGAGACCTCAAACCTGGCCGAGATCTTGATTTCAGTCTTGTGATAACCAGTAGAGAATCCAGTTATGCTATACGTGGACTTCTGACCTACAGAAACTGAGGGGTAATAATGAGTATTGTTTTAAGCTGCTTAATTTGTGATAAATTGTTATGAAGCAACAAAAAATTAACGCAGGCAATTAGGGCTGTGAACTGCTCTCAAGGTAGCAGAGAATTCAGAACTGACTGAAAGATAAGCAAAACCTACCTACAGTACTGATGGGGAAAGAACAATTTCTGGAGTCAGAAAAGTGGGGACTGAAACCTAAGTACCACTATTTGTTAGCTGTACGATTTTTGGCAAGTGTCCTTTAAATCTATTCCTTTATCAATAAATTAGGGATAGGCCAGGCGCAGTGGCTCACACCTATAATCCCAACATTTTGGGAGACCAAGGTGAGAGGATCACCTGAGGTCAGGAGTTCAAGACCAGCCTGGCCAACATGGCAAAACACCGTCCCTACTAAAAATACCAAAATTAGACGGGCATGGTGGTGAGCACTGTAGTCCCAGCTACTCGGGAGGCTGACGCAGGAGAATAACTAGAACCTGGCAGGCAGAGGTTGCAGTAAGCCAAAATCACACCACTGCACTCCAGCCTGAGTGATAGACTCCACCTCAAAAAATAATAATAAAATAAAATAAATTTTAAAAATAAATTAGGGATAAAAACTTAGCTCACAAAGTTGTTATGAGGCATAAATGGGATAATAGTTTGTGGCAGGTAGTGGCACATTGTAAATTATAGTCATAATTGTATTTTAAAAAGCAAAAAAATACACCAGTAGCCAATCTAAGTGACTGTAGGCAAAGTGGAGGGACTCTGACAGCAGGGAGACCAGTTGGGATTCGAATGCAATATACCCCAGTGCTTTCTTACTTGCTTTTCTTACTTTTCTTACTTTCTTACCCTGACCTCATCCTAAGCTTCCAGCACTTGGAGATTTGATGAACATTAACTGAACTGCAGGGAGGTCAAAGCTTTCCCCGTTGCCTTTGGCCAGTGTAGGGGCAGAAAGGGGTGATCCTTTTCCTCCCCATCATAAGGGTCATGGCTGACACTCCCATAACGAAAGATAGGTTAACAAGAAAAAAACCATAACAAGTTTATTGATCATAGTTTTATGTGACATGGGAGGCTTCAGATTAAAGACCCACAGATAGAAGGAAAATCGTCCATTTTTATGCTTAGGTTCAATAAAACATACGTAGATTTGTGATTGGACAAAAAGGGTCCAAGCTAATGGAAATGGATTGAGTGGGAAAACCCAGCAAAGCCTGTCTGTTCAAATCCTTCTGGCCTCTCTTTTGTATCATTTCTTCCTCCCTGTCCTCCCTACTATGGGGTATGATCCTTCTGGAATGAGTGTCTTAATTTCTTTTCTTTTCTTTTCTTTT